ACGTAGTCGACGATGTAGTCCATGGCTGCCTTCTGATGTTTCGTTTCGGGGCTTGGGTTCTCTGTCGTCAGCATTTCGAAGGCTTCCTCGCCGCCTTCTACCGGCGCGAAGGCATCGCCAGCAGCCCCTGTTGGCACGTGATCTGGCGGCAGGAAGTCGATCTCGCCACCGTACCGCTCTTTCAATGCCTCCATAATCTTCAAAGAGTCTTCGTAATTTTCCTGGGCGATCTTGCTGTTGGCCCATCCATCCCATACATCGCCGGGACGCATCTTCGCCTTCATATACATGACCGCCTGGACGGCTTGCAGCTTCCGGGCCGCGTGTACAGTCCCATCCATTTCGGGGAAACACTTTGACCGGAGGAAGTCTGGGTGGGCAGTCGTGTCCCGAGCAACTCGTCGAAAGGCTGCTGCGTGGCTTCCGTTGTCCTCCTCTTGCAGCCAGTCTCCTGGCTCTACCCAGACCAAGTACAGCAGCAGTTTGGAGTAGTAGAAAGCTTCCGGTTCGAGGTCAGGACTGAAATTCCGGTAGGCGACGATCGCAGGTCGCCTTCGTGGCTGCGGCTCCCCACCGATGAACTTGAAGGCTGCGCAAAAATCCAGAAAGTTCACCTCCTTGAAAAGACAGCTCCTGAACTTGCCGCCCTCCACCGGAATCTCGACGGTCTCCTCCCCGAACCTGCGTTGCAGCTCCCGGTACCGCCTCTGGGCCACGGGCATGGAGTCCTCGAGGTACAGTTTCTTGCTGCGGTATTTGCCTGGCGCCTGCAGGGCCACGCTCTCCTCGTTCTTCGGTACTGACAAGGTCCAAGTGTATGGTGGGCCCACCTGGATCCACTCGTTATCCCTAGAGAACTCGACGACGGGGAAGCCCAGCAGCAGGTGGCAGGCTTCGAACGTCGATGTGGTTCTGCCCTGCAGCGCGGCGTGGGCGGCTTTGTAGACCTGCTGTTTGCCGAGGCCGCCGTCGTTATTGCTGCTGGAGGTGAGGCTCGCGACGATACTTTCCACGCGCTGTTGCGCTTGCTTGTCCTGCTCCGATTTCATGGCATAACCGAGGATGTAGCGGCTCGCGCTGGTGAGCTCGCAGATGACCTGGAGGTCCATGCTAGCCCGCCACCGCCGAAGGATCTTGATGTTGTACTGCCCCATCATGCTGTCCGACTGAACCCGCCTCGTCGCCAAGCTACTTTTCCAGCGGCTGTTGGCATACCTCTCCTGGGAGGTACGGCGCCTGGTCCGCGTTTCTGCGGTGTGCGGGAAGCCGTGGCGGCAGGCGCCGTGCGACTTGATTCCACAGTACTCGGAGTGGTGGTGCACTAACAGCTCGGCCAACTTGGCGTTCACCTCGATGTCTCGGGACGAGAGTTTCTTGGATTGCCTCCACGTGAAAGGGGATTTGGTGCAAATGTACTTGTCGCTCCAGTCTTCCGCACAGCTGGGAGTGAAGGACTGCATGACCTCATCATCCGACCAGTCGGGAGCTTGCGGCTCGTGACCGGATCTGTCCTCGGAAGACATCTTTGCTGCCCGAGTTGGCTTCTCAAGTTCCATCACCCAGAGTAGGATGTGAGCGTGCGGATAGCCTCTCTTCTGCCATTCGATGCGGATGATGTAGTCCAGCACCCTGAACGGTGGCGCTCCCTTGAAAACTTTTCGGTGTTGGCCTGCAGAGTCCATGGCCGGCGCCTGGAGAAAGTCGTCCTCGTCTTCGGCCGCAGGATCGTCCTCGGCATCCACATCTTGGTCGAGGCGCGTCGTTGTTGCTTCGTGCTTGGCGGACAGCCAGTGCATCAGCTGGGTTACTTGATGCATGAACTGACGAGCCACAACGGCGGGATGCTGATTGCACAGCTGGTTCGGGGACAGACCGTCCCAGGTGAACTTCTCGTCGGCTTGGTAGCACTGCAGGATCTGAGCGGCTTCTCTCTCGATCTCTTGTGGCGGTTTCGCAGGACGCAGCCGAAGCAGCCGTGCCATGATGACGGCGATCAGGATGTCGGGCTGTCGGGCATGGCACGACAGGGTCATGAAGAATTTGGGCGCTCCGAGCTGCTCGTACATGTTGACCGCGACGCCCTTCTTTGCGAAGACGTACGAGCTGGTTCCAGGGATGTCCCGGAGAGCCGCGAACACTCGTCCTTTCCCGTCCTTGTACTTGGTCTTCTCGCTGGGGCCTTCCTGGCCTATCCTGACATTCACGTTGCCCGAGAGGCGCTTCTTGATGTGCATCTCCAGCAGCCACATGATGTAGCCGGCGGACGCCTCGAAGCGTGGGTCGAGATTCAGGAGACGCTTTCGCGCATATTGAGAGAAGCTGCCGTACTGGTCCTGCCACCCGCCCTGGCCGGTGGGAAACAGGTGCGGAAAGAGCTTCACGTCCATGTCGTCGCACATCGCTGATATGCCCCTGGCCTTTCGTAGCTCGTGTGTGTCGGCTCGGGGAGCCTTTAGGTCTTTGGGAAGCATGTATGTCACTTCGAGCTCTTCCGATTCTCTTTCGGCCGGTGACACAGGCGCTGCTGCTGCAGCATCGTCCTTGGCGGTGGGCGCTTTGCCATGGAGAATTGCAGCCATATCGTCCAGGGCTTTGTCCACAGCCGGGCTCGCCTGGTAGAGGCGGTGCTGGGATTTCAGCTGCCGCAAGGCTTGGTACAGGTGGTCGAGGCGGGCCGGCGAAGCGGTCATGCCTTGGACTCCCTCCACTAGGACCGTGCCATCTTCTTCGAGCGTTGCGCCATCCAGCACGTCGCAGATGAAAGGCTCGTCGACCAGCATTGCATACATGCGGCCCCACTGCGCACTTGGCCCGCCGGAAGGAAGCTTGTCAAGCAGGACTTGAGAGATTCGCGCCATGGCGAGCAGGTGATGCTCGATCGGCTGCAGGCTCTGGAGCGCTTCTGGGATGGGTGGTGAAGTGGGCAAGAAGATCTTGGTGACATTCTCCCGACAGTTCCTGCAGAGCATGTTGCCGGTTTGCTTCGCCGGCCTGCAATGCTTCGCGGTTGTGAGAGTGTGACATGCTTCACACACCCTGGACAATCCGAATCGACTCCAGCTTCGCGTAAAAGCCAAGTAGTGGGCTTGCGCTTGCTCCGAGGTCAGCACATCTTCATCCGGGAACGGGTAGCCCCGCTGTTGGGCCTCTGTGGCGATCGGCAAAGGACCACGGCTGCCAAGTCCTTCTTCTGCGCGTTGAGCTTGAAGTTGTCGTCCCTGCGCCCGCCTGCTGTCCTCCGTGGGTACAGGCCCGCGGCTGCCAAGTCCTTCTTCTGCGCGTTGAGCTTGAAGTTGTTGTCCCTGCGCCCGCCTGCTGTCCTCCGTGGGTACAGGCCCGCGGCTGCCAAGTCCTTCTTCTGCGCGTTGAGCTTGAAGTTGTTGTCCCTGCGCCCGCCTGCGGTCCTCCGTGGGTACAGGCCCGCGGCTGCCAAGTCCTTCTTCTGCACGTTGAGCTTGAAGTTGTTGTCCCTGCGCCTGTCTGCTTTTCTCCGTGGGCAAAGGCCCGCGGCTGCCAAGTCCTTCTTCTGCGCGGTCAGCTTGAAGTTGTTGCCTCTGGGCCCGAGTGCTGTTTGCAACAGGCACAGGTCCACGGCTGCCCGCTCCTTGCGCAGCACGTTTCTGCTGTTGAGCACTCTTCTCCTCGCTCTTCCGGCGGAGGTTCTCCTCTTTCTGAGCTTCGCGGCACTGTCGATTGCTGCACCATCCTTTTCCTCGGCCTTGCATTGGCCAGCCACACCGTGGGCAAGGCGCCATCCTAACGAATTGCGATAAGGCGGTTCCTAAGCTCAGCTAAGGCTGTATCCGCACGGCTGCGATCAAATCTCAAGCATGTTCCATCAGCGAGCAAATTAATCAAACGAAGAACAGCACAAAATCTTTTCAGGAACAGGTGATTCCAGACTGGATCACCGTCTATTGAGTCTACAAGCCATGTCATTGACCGATGCAGGACTGAGATGCAACGACAGCTCAAACCGGCCGTGTCCAGACTGCCGTATCCCTTGCTGCAGCGCTCGCTCCTTTTTGCGTTTGTTGCTGCTCGCGTTTGGAGCTCTAGCGGTCTGTGGCTTGCTTTGACATGTAGACAACTTGCACGTCCACGACCTCGTCGTGGAAGCTGCGGTCCAGGAGTTCGCGCCAGCTCCAAGCGTCGCTGATCACGTCTCCGTCCAAAACCAGTTGCGTGCCTTCGATGGGAATGGGTCCTGCAGGACTGCTGTCCAAGTCCAAAAGCAAGACCTCTCTGGTGCTGCGATGCTGCAGCGTTTCCGGCGGGATGGGCTTCATGGTCTTCTGAAATTTGACACGTAGTTCTTGCAGGGATCGGCAGCGATCGGGGTTGTTGCCCTCGTGCAGCTGGGCGAGCCAAGCTTCCCGGAAAGATCCGGGCGGTTCGAGTTGGCAGAGCAGGCGATAAGGCTTCGAGGAATGGATCTCGGCACCCTGCATGTTCAGGTACCTCACCGTCAGGTCAGCAAGACGCTCGCTGAACTCCCTCTGCATCTCCATCTCTTTGTTCCATCTTGTTCCTCCACGTGCATCTTCCTCGGCGTCGTGCTGCATTTCTGCGTCGACCCAGTCCCAACAATCGAAAGGGTCCTCGCAGTCCTCCAGGTCGGAGCCCCGAATCGAGTGGTCTGAGCTTCTGGAACCCTCGCCCATGTTCTCGGACATCTCTGTTGCGCCGGTCGATCTCAGAAACAAGGGCTGTGGGCATGATCTTAGGCACTCGCTGTTGTGACGACTGAGATTCCAGCCGTAAGCGCCTACCTATAGGCCGAAGCTCGGACACAGAGCAGGACTACGACTCTTCACATTGAGCCCACGCGAGCGGAACTAACTCGGCTTGTCATGCATACCGAGCACTTGCACACAGTGTGCACTGTTGCAGAATTTACTTAATGGGGGAGTGTCATTAGAGCATGAGCAGGCACCTGGTACCCCCTTTTGGTTGAGGATAAGCGAGCCACTTCTGCATGCGAGCCCTCCGGCCTCGTCCCGTCTCTGTCTTTCTTCAGGTTGAAGATAAGCACCTGGTGCCCCATATTGGTTGAGGATAAGCGCACCACCTCTCCATGCGAGCCCTCCGGCCTTGTCCCTTGCCTTCGTCTTCTTTCAGGTTGAGTATAAGCACCTGGGAGACCATATTGGTTGAGGATAAGCAACCACTTCTGCATGCGCCTCCGTCTTCTTCAGGTTGAGACCACGCACCTGGGACCCCATGTTGGTTGAGGATAAGCGCTCCGGCCTTGTCCCCGCCTCCGTCTTCTTCAGGTTGACACCACGCACCGGGGACCCCATATTGGTTGCTTGTCCCCGCCTCCGTGTTCTTCGGGCTGAGACCACGCACCTGGAACCCCATATTGGTTGAGGATAAGCGCTCCGGCCTTGTCCCCGCCTCCGCACAATGCTGCTTGAGGATAAGCGTGGCGGCTGCACCTCTTCGCCTGGCACCGGATAAGCGTGGCGGCTGTACCCCCTGGCCCCCATGCATTCTGGTTGAGGATAAGCGTGGCGGCTGCGCCTCTTCCCCCTGGCCCCCATTCTGGTTGAGGATAAGCGTGGCGGCTGCACCTCTTCGCCTGGCACCGGATAAGCGTGGCGGCTGTACCCCCTGGCCCCTATTCTGGTTGAGGATAAGCGTGGCGGCTGCGCCTCTTCCCCCTGGCCCCCATTCTGGTTGAGGATAAGCGTGGCGGCTGCACCTCTTCGCCTGGCACCGGATAAGCGTGGCGGCTGTACCCCCTGGCCCCTATTCTGGTTGAGGATAAGCGTGGCGGCTGCGCCTCTTCCCCCTGGCCCCCATTCTGGTTGAGGATAAGCGTGGCGGCTGCACCTCACGCCTGGCACCGGATAAGCGTGGCGGCTGCACCCCCTGGCCCCTATTCTGGTTGAGGATAACATTCTGGTTGAGGATAAGCGTGGCGGCTGCACCTCTTTGCCTGGCACCGGATAAGCGTGGCGGCTGTACCCCCTGGCCCCTATTCTGGTTGAGGATAAGCGTGGCGGCTGCGCCTCTTCCCCCTGGCCCCCATTCTGGTTGAGGATAAGCGTGGCGGCTGCACCTCTTCGCCTGGCACCGGATAAGCGTGGCGGCTGTACCCCCTGGCCCCTATTCTGGTTGAGGATAAGCGTGGCGGCTGCGCCTCTTCCCCCTGGCCCCCATTCTGGTTGAGGATAAGCGTGGCGGCTGCACCTCTTCGCCTGGCACCGAATAAGCGTGGCGGCTGTACCCCCTGGGCCCCTATTCTGGTTGAGGATAAGCGTGGCGGCTGCGCCTCTTCCCCCTGGCCCCCATTCTGGTTGAGGATTCGCCTGGCACCGGATAAGCGTGCGGCTGTACCCCCTGGCCCCTATTCTGGTTGAGGATAAGCGTGGCGGCTGCGCCTCTTCCCCCTGGCCCCCATTCTGGTTGAGGATAAGCGTGGCGGCTGCGCCTCTTCCCCCTGGCCCCCATTCTGGTTGAGGATAAGCGTGGCGGCTGTCTTCGCCTGGCACCGGATAAGCGTGGCGGCTGTACCCCCTGGCCCCTATTCTGGTTGAGGATAAGCGTGGCGGCTGCGCCTCTTCCCCCTGGCCCCCATTCTGGTTGAGGATAAGCGTGGCGGCTGCACCTCTCGCCTGGCGCCGGATAAGCGTGGCGGCTGTACCCCCTGGCCCCTATTCTGGATAAGCGTGGCGGCTGCGCCTCTTCCCCCTGGCCCCCATTCTGGTTGAGGATAAGGGTGGCGGCTGCACCTCTTCGCCTGGCACCGGATAAGCGTGGCGGCTGTACCCCCTGGTCCCTATTCTGGTTGAGGATAAGCGTGGCGGCTGCGCCTCTTCCCCCTGTCCCCCATTCTGGTTGAGGATAAGCGTGGCGGCTGCACCTCTTCGCCTGGCACCGGATAAGCGTGGCGGCTGTACCCCCTGGCCCCTATTCTGGTTGAGGATAAGCGTGGCGGCTGCGCCTCTTCCCCCTGGCCCCCATTCTGATTGAGGATAAGCGCGGCGGCTGCGCCGCCTCCGCTTTCCCTGAAACCCCATATTGGTTGAGGACAAGCTCTCCGGCCTCGTCCGCGCCTCCGCCGTTTTCTCAGCTTAAAACCGTGCACCTGAAACTCCATCTTGGTTGAGGATAAACGCTCCGGCCTCGTCCCCGCCTCCGCCTTCTTCGGGCTGTGAGACCACGCACCTGCGAGCCCATATTGGTTGAGGATACCCCGCCTCCCCCTTCTTCGGGCTGCCAGACCACGCACCTGGGACACCATAGTGGTTGAGGATAAGCGCTCCGGCCCGGTCCCTGCCTCCGCCTTCTTCGGGCTGTCTGAACACGCACCTAGGACCCCATATTGGTTGAGGATAAGCGCTTTGGCCTCGTCCCCGCCTCCTCCTTCTCCGGGATGAGACTTCACACCTGGGACCCCATGTTGGTTGAGGAGAAGTGCTGCGGTCTCCCCGCCTCCGTCTTCTTCGGGCTGAGATCACGCACCTCGGACCCCAGATTTGTTGAGGATAATCGCTTTGGCCTCGTCCCCGCCTCCTCCTTCTCCGGGATGAGACTTCACACCTGGGACCCCATGTTGGTTGAGGAGAAGTGCTGCGGTCTCCCCGCCGCCGTCTTCTTCGGGCTGAGATCACGCACCTCGGACCCCAGATTTGTTGAGGATAATCGCTTTGGCCTCGTCCCCGCCTCCTCCTTCTCCGGGATGAGACTTCACACCTGGGACCCCATGTTGGTTGAGGAGAAGTGCTGCGGTCTCCCCGCCGCCGTCTTCTTCGGGCTGAGATCACGCACCTCGGACCCTTTTTTTGTTGAGGATAAGCGCTCCGGCCTCGTCCCCGCCTTCGCCTTCTTCGGGTTGGGACCCCATATTGGTTGAGGATAAGCCCTCCGGCCTCGTCCCCTCCGCTTTCTTCAGGTTGAGCCCACGCACCTGGGACGTTGAGGAAAAGCGTGCTGGATCGGTTGAGGATAAGCGTTCCGGCCTCTTCCCCGCCTTCGCCTTCTCCGGATTGGGACCCCGTAGTTCCCGCCTCCACTTTCTTCGGGCTGTGAGATGTCACACTTGGAACCCCATATTGGTTGAGGGTAAGCGGTCCGGCCTCGTCCCCGCCTCCAGTTTCTTCGGGCTGCGAGACGTCACACCTGGAACCCCATATTGGTTGAGGGTAAGCGCTCCGGCCTCGTCCTCGCCTCCAGTTTCTTCGGGCTGCGAGACGTCACATCACACCTGGAACCCCATATTGGTTGAGGGTAACCGCTCTGGCCTCGTCCCCGCCTCTGCTTTCTTCGGGTTGGGACCCCATCTTGGTTGAGGATAAGCGCTCCGGCCTTGTCCCCGCCTTCGCTTTCCCTGAAACCCCATATTGGTTGAGGACAAGCGCTCCGGCCTCGTCCCCGCCTCTGCCGTCTTCTCAGCTTAAAACCATGCACCTGAAACCCCATCTTGGTTGAGGATACGTCCCCGCCTCCGGCCTGAGATCCCAGACTTCGGAAACCCATATTGGTTGAGGATATCTCTGGCCTGATCCCCGCCTCCGTGTTCTTCTCAGGTTGAGACCATGCACCTGAAGCCCCATATTGGTTGAGTATACGTGGGTTGAAGATAAGCGCTCCGGCCTCGTCCCCGCCTCCGTCTTCATCTCGGGTTGAGCCCACGTGCCTGGAACCCCATATTGGTTGAGGATAAACGCCCTGGCCTCGACCCCGCCCCTGCCTTCCTCGGGTTGAGACCATGCTATATCTCCCCGTATGTGTCTACTGAATGCTGAATAACAGCTGCGTCGGATAGGAGTCGCTCGTAGTCATCGGGCATACCCCAAGAGTGCATGCGCGTGATGCAAGTGCTTCCCGTGCACCTTTTGGACTCTCAAGGGAAGAGGTTCTTATCGCCGGACCTGGCGCTCAGACGGCTGCCGTGGCCTCCTGGGCTGTGCTGTGGCAGGGACGTGCCCGCATGTTCTTCTTCGTTGTGCTGGTCCGGCCTGGAAGACATCCTCTTCCCAGAAACAAATGCTGTCCGAAAGATACCACCAGGGTATCCACGCGCCGTGCGGCACCCTTTGCCAAATGTATCCTGGTTGCACGTCAGTGTGCAGGTTCTGTTCTCTCGCTCTTGCTTGCTGGCCTGCCCACCCATTCTTCCTGAGAAGATTTCTTTTCTCTTCGACGGTGGCACAGGCCTAGCGCAACTAGCGTCAACCACCGTCGGCAGATGCTGGCTTGGTGTGCGTTGCTCGGCCCCTGACGCCCAGTTGGCTCTTGATGCTGTCCAACGGGCTCGGAGCTTCGCGCTCCGGTTTCCCGGCTCTGTCACGGCGGCGGGGCCTGCAGCGCCATCGTGTTCAGCAGAGACATCACGAGCGCTTCTTAAGGCCCCGACGGACACAACCCGAGTCGGCGTGCACAGGGAGGGCCTCGATAAAGGTAAACGGCATATCAGGACTCCTCCCTCGTAGAGCGTCCGAGGCTCGGGCACAACATCGCGTTGTGTGTCTCTTCTCCCTCGTATCCGGGGTCGATGCCCAAGTATCGGGCATATTCCTTGCACTCCTGGCGTAAAAACAAAGCCGAGTAAATGAGAAGTAGTTTCCCGCGACACATCCTCAGGTGCGGGCGCAGCACCGCAGTATACCTTCCGATCTCTCGAAACAGATTGTCCCTGTCGCCATAGCTTCTCCGAGGGGGACCGCTGGCTAGGAATTGCTCAATGAACAAGAGCTGCGTTCATAAGCTGCTGGGAGCAGGTACTCCTGCATGCGTCTGGCTGCACTACATGCTCAGTGATGGTCTCTTTCTCTGATATCCTTTTGCAATTGTCCCGCTTGCGAGCGCGGATACTCCATGGCTCGCCTTCGGCGACTCCGTCTCCTTCAGTGTTCGCCTGAATGGGACTCCGTATTGAGGATAAGCCCTCCCGGCCGTGTCCTTGCCTCTGTCTTGTTTAGCTTGAGCTTCCACACCGTCTTCTTCGGCTTGAGCTTCCACACCTCGGAAACCCATATTGGTTGAGGATAAGCCCTCCCGGCCTCGTCCTTGCCTCCGTCTTCTTCCGCTTGAGCTTCCACGCCTCGGAAACCCATATTGGTTGAGGATAAGCCCTCCCGGCCTCGTCCTTGCCCCCGTCTTCTTCCGCTTGAGCTTCCACGCCTCGGAAACCCATATTGGTTGAGGATAAGCCCTCCCGGCCTGGTCCTTGCCCCCGTCTTCTTCGGCTTGAGCGTCCACGCCTCGGAAACCCATATTGGCTGAGGATAAGCCCTCCCGGCCTCCTCCTTGCCTCTGTCTTCCTCCGCTTAAGCGTCCACGCCTCGGAAACCCATATTGGTTGAGGATAAGCCCTCCCGGCCTCCTCCTTGCCTCTGTCTTCTTCCGCTTGAGCGTCCACGCCTCGGAAACCCATATTGGTTGAGGATAAGCCCTCCCGGTCGTGTCCTTGCCTCTGTCTTCCTCCGCTTAAGCGTCCACGCCTCGGAAACCCATATTGGTTGAGGATAAGCCCTCCCGGCCTCCTCCTTGCCTCTGTCTTCTTCCGCTTGAGCGTCCACGCCTCGGAAACCCATATTGGCTGAGGATAAGCCCTCCCGGCCTCCTCCTTGCCTCTGTCTTCCTCCGCTTACGCGTCCACGCCTCGGAAACCCATATTGGTTGAGGATAAGCCCTCCCGGCCTCCTCCTTGCCTCTGTCTTCTTCCGCTTGAGCGTCCACGCCTCGGAAACCCATATTGGTTGAGGATAAGCCCTCCCGGTCGTGTCCTTGCCTCTGTCTTCTTCTCCGTGCCTCTGTCTTCTTCCGCTTGAGCTTCACGCCTCGGAAACCCATATTGGTTGAGGGTAAGCCCTCCCGGTCTTGTCCTTGCCTCTGTCTTCTTCCGCTTGAGCTTCACGCCTCGGAAACCCATATTGGTTGAGGGTAAGCCCTCCCGGTCTGGTCCTTGCCTCTGTCTTCTTCGGCTTGAGCTTCCACGCCTCGGAAACCCATATTGGTTGAGGATACACTCTCCCGGCCTTGTCCTTGCCTCTGTCTTCTTCAGCTTGAGCCTTCATGCCTCGGAAACCCATATTGGTTGAGGATACACTCTCCCGGCCTTGTCGTTGCCCTTCTGCAGCTTGAGGGAAACCCATATTGGTTGGGGATAAACCCTCCCGGCCTTGTTCTTGCCCTTCTTCAGCTCGAGCTTCCACGCCTCGGAAACCCATATTGGTTGAGGATAAGTCCTCCCGGCCTTGTCCTTGCCTCTGTCTTCTTCAGCTTGAGCTTCTACGCCTCGGAAACCCATATTGGTTGAGGAGAAGCTCTCCCGGCCTTGTCCTTGTCTCCGTCTCCTTCAGCTTGAGCTTCCACGCCTCGGAAACCCATATTGGTTGAGGATATTCTTCTTTTCTTCAGCTTGAGCCTTCTACGCCTCGGAAACCCATATTGGTTGAGGATACACTCTCCCGGCCTTGTCGTTGCCCTTCTGCAGCTTGAGGGAACCCCATATTGGTTGGGGATAAACCCTCCCGGCCTTGTTCTTGCCCTTCTTCAGCTTGAGCTTCCACGCCTCGGAAACCCATATTGGTTGAGGATAAGTCCTCCCGGCCTTGTCCTTGCCTCTGTCTTCTTCAGCTTGAGCTTCCACGCCTCGGAAACCCATATTGGTTGAGGAGAAGCTCTCCCGGCCTTGTCCTTGCCTCCGTCTCCTTCAGCTTGAGCTTCCACGCCTCGGAAACCCATATTGGTTGAGGATATTCTTCTTCCGCTTGAGCTTCCACGCCTCGGAAACCCATTGGTTTGAGGATAAGCCCTCCCGGCCTTGCCTCTGTCTTCTTCGACTTGTGAGCTTCCACACCTCGGAAACCCATACTGGTTGAGGATAAACCCTCCCGGCCTTGTCGTTGCGCTTCTGCAGCTTGAGACGCCACGTCTTGGAAACCCATATTGGTTGATGATAACCCCTCCCGGCCTTGTCCTTGCCCTTCTTCAGCTTGAGCTTCCACGCCTCGGAAACCCATATTGGTTGAGGATGGCTCACCCCCGGCCTTGTCCCTGCCTCTGTATTCTTCAGCTTGAACTTCCACACCTCGGAACCCCATATTGGTTGAGGATGAGCCCTCCCGGCCTTGTCCCTGCCCCTGTCTTCTTCAGCTTGAGCTTTCACGCCTCGGAAACCCATACTGGTTGAGGAGGAGCCCCCCCCCCGGCCGTGTCCCTACCTGTGTCTTCTTCAGCTTGAACTTCCGCACCTCGGAACCCCATGTTGGTTGAGGATGGGCCCTCCCAGCCTTGTCCTTGCATAGGTACTCCGGCCTCTCCTCGCCTCAGTCCTGTTCGAGTTGAGACCACGCACCTCGGACCCGATATTGGTTGAGGACAAGTGCTCCGGCCTGGTTCCCGCCTCCATCCTCTTCAAGTTGAGACCGCGCACCTGGGACCCCATATTGCTTGAGGATAGGCACTCCGGCCTGGTCTCGGCTTCTGTTCTCTCCAGACCACGAACCTGAAACCCATGACAGTTGAGGATAGGCGATCCGGCCTTGTCGCCGCCTCCGTCTTCTTCAGGTTGAGACCACGCGCCGAGAACGTATTCTGAGAGTAAGTCCTTCGAGCCTGTTGTCGCCTCCTCTTGAAGCTCGCCTTCTTCTGGCTTCAAGCACCTGGCACTGATGCACGCTGCGGTAGGGCGCGCACCTAGGACCCCATATCGGTTGAGGATAAGTGCTCCGCCCTCGTCCCCACCTTCACCTTCTTCGGGCCGAGATCGCGTACCTGGGACTCCACGTTGGTCGAGGATAAGCGCTCCGGCCTCGTCCCCGCCTCCGCTTTCGCACCTGGGACCCCTTATTGGTTGAGGATAAGCGCTCCGGCCTCGTCCCTGCCGAGCACGCACCTGGGACCCCAGCTCCGGCCTCGTCCCCGCCTCCGCCTTCTTCGGGCTGAGACCACGCGCCTGGAAACCCATATTGCGCCGGCCTGGTCCGCGAGAGCACGCACCTGGGACCCCATATTGGTTGAGGATAAGCGCTCCCGCCTCCGAGCACGCGCCTGGAACATATTGGTTGAGGATAAGCGCTCCGGCCTCGTCGCCTTCTTCGGGCTGAGACCACGCACCTGGGACCCCATATTGGGTGAGGATAAGTGCTCCGGCCTCGTCCCTGCCTCCGCCTTCTTCGACTGAGACCACGCACCTGGGACCCCACATTGGTTGAGGATAATCAGCGCTCACCTCCTCACTTCGGTCTCTTGGGGTTGGGACCACGTACCTGGGACACCATGCAGGCGAGCCTGCACGGCTTCGTTCCCGCTCCCGGCCTTCTTCTTCTTGAGGATACGCACCTGGCACTCCACGCTGGTTGCGGTCTAAGTGAGCGGGTTGGAGGGGAGGAGGGTGGGGAGGTCACTGCCTTGCGGTGCGGGGTTCGGGGGAGGGAAGGGGAGGGAGGGAAGGGGGGGAGGGAGCGGGGGGACCCTCCGGAGGGGGCACCGGGTGGGGGGGAGGGGGGGGGGGAGGGTGGGGACACACCCCATTTTAGTTGAGGATTGCCCACTACCCCCCCGTGAGACTCGTGCCACCCCCCCGGAGGAGGCACCGGGTGGGGAGGGGGAGGGAAGGGGGGAGGGTGGGGGAGGGGCCCGGGGGGTGGGAACCAACACCCCATTTCAGTTGAGGATTGTTGGTGTCTGCCCACTACCCTCCCGCCCCAGGAGGAGGGGGGAGGGCGCTCAGGGGGAGGGGGGCGGGGGGAAGACCCCACACCCCATTTTAGTTGAGGATTGTTCTCTCGGCCTTGTCGCTGAGACCACACACCTCGGCAACCACATTGGTTGAGGCTCACGCTTCCATACCTTGGATTGTCCTTGCCTCTGTCTTCTTCGGCTTGAGCTTCCACACCTCGGAACCCCATACCGGTTGAGGATAAGCCTTCCCGCCTTGTCTCTGCCTCTGTCTTCTTCGGCTGGAGCTTCCATACCCCGGAAACCCACATCGGTTGAGTATAAACCCTCCCGGCCTTATCCTTGCCTCTGTCTTCTTCGACTTGTGAGCTTTCACGCCTCGGAAACCCGTACTAGTTGAGGATAAACCCTCCCGGCCTTGTCGTTGCGCTTCTGCAGCTTGAGACCCCACGTCTTGGAAACCCATATTAGTTGATGATACACCCTCCCGGCCTTGTCCTTGCCCTTCTTCAGCTTGAGCTTCCACGCCTCGGAAACCCATACTGGTTGAGGATGAGCCCCCCCCCGGCCTTGTCCCTACCTGTGTCTTCTTCAGCTTGAACTTCCACACCTCGGAACCCCATGTTGGTTGAGGATGGGCCCTCCCGGCCTTGTCCTTTCCTCGGAAACTTATATTGGTTGAGGATAAGCCCTCCCGGCCTCGTTCTTACCTCTGTCTTCTTCAGCTTGAGCTTCCTGGGGCCACGCACTTCGAACCCCGGCTTTGTCCTTGCCTCCGTCGTCTTTTTGCTGGGGTCACGCACCTCGGACCTCATATTGGTTGAGGCCTCGTCCTTTCTCTTTTCTCCAAGATGAAACCATGCACCTGGGACCCTATCTTGGTTGAGGATAGGCACTCCGGCCTCTCCTCGCCTCCGTCCTGTTCGAGTTGGGACCACGCACCTCGGACCCGATATTGGTTGAGGAGAAGTGCTCCGGCCTGGTTCCCGCCTCCATCCTCTTCAAGTTGAGACCGCGCACCTGGGACCCCATATTGATTGAGGATAGGCACTCCGGCCTGGTCTCGGCTTCTGTTCTCTCCAGACCACGAACCTGGGAACCCATGACAGTTGAGGATAGGCGATCCGGCCTTGTCGCCGCCTCTGTCTTATTCAGGTTGAGACCACGCGCCGAGAACGTATTCTGAGAGTAAGTCCTTCGAGCTTGTTGTCGCCTCCTCTTGAAGCTCGCCTTCTTCTGGCTTCAAGCCCCTGGCACTGATGCACGCTGCGGTAGGGCACGCACCTAGGACCCCATATCGGTTGAGGATAAGTGCTCCGCCCTCGTCCCCACCTTCACCTTCTTC